ACAAAGCACGGCTCCTTTAAGATGTCACGTTTGCAAGGGCCTTAAAAAAATATTATCACCATAATATTATTATTGTTGTTTAATAGAATTTTTTTCCCCCCACAAACAACTAATAGCGTTTTCCACCATACTGCGCTGACTTCACCAGTACATATTTTTATGTTCTATCTGCAAGATTAATGTGCACCGAGTGGACTTTTTTATGTTTCACCTAAATGCACTACGTCAGTTTTTTGCACTCGGTGCACATTATCATTATCATGATTGATAAGTACTGCAATACCCATTAAATATTTTATTATCTTTATATATCAGTAATAAGTATAGATTTTATGTTTCATCTACATTAATTGCACCAGCCCGTGTTGGGACGATTATCAGTGAACTGTACCAGTTTTACCTTGGTGCAATAGTGCGGTGTGGTGTAAAACACTATAAAAATGTTTGTAATATCATTTTTAAAAATTGTACGTTGGCAACAAATTTGAAGCCGCTATCTATTCGACCGGGCCCTTATCATTTATCGGACAACTGCCTCCAGCCACAACTATACCGTAAAATACGTTATCTCCCATTATCACTATYTCAATAGTCATTTTCGTAGCATGTAAATGTTATAATGAAAATGAATAATAATGTGCTTCGTCGTCGTCGCCGCCGCCTACCGTAGGCATAGATGCCAGAAATCAGAATCATCGTGAGTCGTGACCCCACAAACGTCAAGATGGGCACCGAATACATTATTATGACGTCGTAGTTCGTTTGTTATGCAATTCGTGGTGAAGTCTTACAGATAGTTTTTTTTTTCTCAGGTAAATGTCTGGAAATGGCCTAATAGTCAGTAACAAGATTGTGTTGAAAAAAAAATACTTAACATTCCACGTCCGTGTGCCGCWGAGCTATGATTTTTATGTTTCTAATCATCGTTATTGCTGCCGTATTGCAGATAGCACTGATTTCGGTTTTCATTGGTGAGTTACATTTCTAAATATCTGTTTGATGCAAGATTTTTATGACATACATGACAGCGATTGTTACACATTATTATTCCTGCTGTCAAATGCACACGTTGAGCATTGTTTTTATATCACAATTTTATTCTTTCATTGACAATGTAACCRTATTATTTTTCCATTCGACACATTTATGGTCGATTGAAAACATACATTCATTATGAGGACGTGATATCCGCATGTGTTGTCTCCGTCTTACAAATGCGTAACATGGTACATTTTTCGCTCAGCAGAACATAAAATTTAAATATAATAAAAAGCATATGAGGTTGACTAGATRACAATCATACCTTTAAATTTTATAAGAGGTCAATTCACTCTAATTTTTAAGCAAACGGAGCTACACGTGTTCTGCTGAACGTAAAATTTACTATATAATGCACTTGTAAGACACAGACAACACATGCGGGTATCACGTCCTCTTAATGACAAATCTGTTTTTAAACTCCATAACCAGTGTGTTCACGTCATGACATCAACAACTGTTTTAAACCCATACCTATATATTGTCGTTTTTTTCCATTTTTCAGGTGCTGGAGTTTATTACTTGGCTGAATTTGTCGAGGAACACACATCATTAACAAAAAAAGTTATTAAATGGACAATTCATGTAAGATTAAATACCTATTAATTGTTTATTTACCAAATCATTAAGTGATTTATATCTTTGAACTAATACTATTCATAATTTTGGTGAGTGATGACTTATCATAACCACCAAAATTAAATTAAATTGTTGGAAAGTAAAAAATCATATTTTTGTACACTTCTTGTTCCTTGTTCAAAATATTATGAACTAACTATAATTTTATATAATATATTAGCTTTAAGTCAAAAAGAAAACTGTTTCATTTAAATAATTAAAGTATTATACTGAATTCCAGGTTGTGATAATATGTCATATTGGATTGTATTTATTTGACAATATACCTTTAACTTTGATTGCTTTGGGTCTTTTGAGTCATATAGTGTACTACTTTTTGCTCACTGACTTTCCACACTTCAACTTAACATCGCTATCATTTATTTCGTCAATTATTCTGMTAATTGGAAATCATGTGTTAGCATTCAAATTTTTCCGACAACGTTATACAACATTACCTGAAGTTTGTATACTTTTTTAAAGAATATATCAAATCTTATTTATGTCTTATATTATGTATAATATATATTTATATTTTTTAGATTTTTTCATACTTCACAGTATGTTTATGGATGGTACCATTTATGTTTATATTATCATTATCGGCCAATGATAATACATTACCTGTCACTAATGTGGGTAAGCTTAAAACTTTTAGTAATTATTATTTATTACTATACAATTTCTCCTTAAGTTGTATTATTTGGCATTGGTAAAGTATATTACATACACTATGATTGACATAATCTATTATAATTTTATATGTATAGTTTATGCACAATCGACAATGATATTTTGTTTAACTATGATAATGTTTATTAGCATGCACGCCAAACTATGTTGGTAAGATACCTAAATATATAAAACTTTTCTGTTTTAGACCTAGTATTCAATATGTCAAATCCTTATTAAAAATATTAGTATTGGAATTTAAGTATTGATTTATTCCTTCTGAATATTCTATCATAAAAATCCTTTAGATTAGGAACTACAACAAAAAGATTTAAAAATGTATAATTGTGAAAAATGTAGTAGCGCGATTAAATGATAAAACAATGAACAGAATTATCATCTGAAAAGACACAAGAGTATAAATATATCAGGTGCATTGAAAGGATGTCAAAAAGTTTATTTTTTACTCATATCTACTATTTCTTATGTTTATTCTTGCYGTTGTCCAACTCTTAGATATTGTTTAATTTTRGATCTGAGACTTTGTTTTTATACGGATTGTTCTCTTGTCATTCTCAATAAACCATTATTGATTAGTTTAATATGTGTAGTGGTATTCGTTATTCAGCGCCAATTAATTGGTGATCTAAGGAAATCTATACAAATCAATAAATCACTATTATGTGGAGAAATCAGAAATACAATTTTATTTTTATAATTTTATGTAGAAATAAAAATACTTAAATTCCAGTTATTTAAAGGCATGTTTTCTGGTGACTCCTATACCATCTAATTTGTGTTGGCATGCTGGTAAGGCTTAAACAAAACTTATAAATGCTAGATAAATCATATGCTTTACTGATGCCCAATATTTTCACTACATTTTTTTAAATGATCAGGCTTGTTAAAACTGTAGTATTCGTCAACTTATTATGAATCACAACCATTAATAGGTATAAGGTATATTTGTTAAGTGACACTTGAATTATTACTATACAGGATGTTTCATTTAAGTAAAACATTTGAATTGAAAAGTATTGACTTTTTACTGACAATAATAATAATAATAATATATTATATAATATATATATATTACATACATACATACATATATTATATATAATGATTTTCTTAAAATATGTTATTAAAATTTTTTTRAGTATATAATATTTATCTAGTTAATTATTTTAATGTTAAAATATTTTAAAAATAAATGTACTAGAGTTATGAAAACTTCTGTATTAAGACTATTTAAATTTTATCATAAAATAATTAAAAGTATGTCTACATTTTATTTACCAACAACAATTAAGGCATCTTTTGACATGAATTCAAAATAGATTTATATACATTTAAGTTTTGAACTTAAATATTAATAATTACTGAGTAAATTTATAAGTAAGTTTTAGATTCTGATTGTTAAAATATAGTATAATAATATTAATGATCATATAATAAGACCTTATTACCAGATTTGTTGTTCTTAAAAATTTWTTTTTATTATGTTAGTCAGACAAAGTCAATACATGGGGGGAGGGGGTACATCAGTGTTTTGTTTTAAGTGCTGTGAATCCAAACTAGATTCTTTATACCACATATTGATCTTTTTATAAACATTTTCAAAGCAATTATTCTATTAAAAAGTTCTATCATATTTAAAAGAAACTACTAGATCATTCCAAAAATTACCTACTCTCTTAAGAAGACGTGATACCCACATGTGTTGTCTAAGTCTTATAAATGCGTAACATACCAAACTTTAGCTCARCAGATCATGTTTAGCTCTGGTAATTCAAAAATTTAAAGTGAATTGACCTCTTATAAAATACAAAGGTAAAAATATAGTCCATGAGGTCGTCTAAATAATATTTTCGCCTTTAAATTTTATAAGTGTTCAACTCTCTTTAATTATTTAACTAATGGAGCTAAACGTGATCTGCTGAGTGTAAAATTTGCTATGTTACGTACTTGTAAGACAGAGACAACACATGCGGGGTTCACGTCCTCTTAAGTATACTATTTATAATTAATTACCATTCAATAAAGCTGTATACAACCTTTGGTTCATTCTTTATAACTTAAAATCTATGATTACAATGAACATAAAACTATTAAAAATATCTTCTATACAAAACCTTAGTCCAATGAGATATGTCATATTCAGTGGCGTATTTACAGGTGGGTGGGTAGTCTCCAGTTTTAACCCTTACCCTTCGAAAAAACAAAAGAGTTACCCAATGTTATATCAATATTTTATCATAGGTTTTCTGTTTATTAGACATTTAGACCTTTATCCCTCCTCTCCCTCAAAAAATTATTGAAAATACGCCAATAGTAAGATATTTATTACATGAGATTTTTAGCACATAACTAACAAACATTTTTTGATTATAATAATTGATTCTATTTAAAATTTTTATAGATGACAATGTCGTATCACATTATTTCACCAATCGTAAACGAAGTTATAAAATAAAGAACCTTTTTACTTATCTTGGTGATATAACTGGTAAAAACAACCATCTGAAGTAATGATTCAACATGAAGAAATGTTACTTATAACTTAAATATATTATTATAATATATAAGTATTGAATTATTTGTATATTTATGTATTTAATTAATTTTAAGAATACTAATTAGCATTGTTATCTATATATTTTAATAAAAGAAAAAGACTGTTGAATGTACAGTTGTTTGATATCAATTTATGAATGGTGTTATTACTATTTGACGCCGATTTTTGTATTTATATAGTATGTATTCAAAAACAAATGACACTAGTGAAGATAATACACCTTAAACAAATCAATAAAGAAAATAAAGTATAATATAAATCTTTTGTGTTTGTAAAAATAGACTCACCCAATAACAGAACAATAAATGATCCTTGCATATCATCTAAATTTACTTTATGATTTGTTACTTCTAATTGTGTGTTGGTCCAACATTGATCTTTTTTGGGTAATGTATCMACCAACCATTTGTTTATGAGACCAACCTTGTGCATTTTTTCGATCCTGAAATAACAGGTGTACTTTTTAAATACCTGCTCTTGAATTATTCTTTTATATTGAAATTGAATATATAGAAAGTTCAAATATCTACTGTACTAGTACTAATAATTAATAAGCATTCTTGTTAATAACTTAAATACTTTTTTTGTGATTTTAAAAGGAAAAGTAGTTATTAATGATTTTTTAAACTTATATTTTAGTAATGTAATTTCTAATTAATTATTATTTATTTATTTTTACCTATTTATTTTTACCTGTTTATTTTGTGATTTAATTGAAAAACCTAATATGTTTTTTTGTTAATGGGTCAGCAGAAAATATGACATTACCTACATAAGTTTGTGTTTTATTTTTTAAATTTACATATATCTTAACTTGTTTAAACTTAAAACTGTTATAAACTTTATTAATCTGGTATTAATAGAAAATAAATTATATATTGAATAATACCATGTAAAATATAGTACATATACAAGATACAAATACAAAATTGCTGATCARCGCAATATTTAATATTGATCCAATCAAGTAATGACATATTAATATTATACACATCTGTGTTTATCTAATGTTTGAAATGTTAAATTAAATCATAATTGAGTAACTTGCAGTCTTAACCTATTAAACATACAACATTTATTTCAACTTTAATTGAAATAGAGTATTTACACAATGTATTAACTATTTGTATTTTAAACTTATTTATTGAATTATATTTACTCTCTGTTTATTCTACTGAGATAAGGGTTTTCTTTTGATAACATCATTGCTAATTTTTCTTCTGCAAAATCTTCATTTCCTGTAAATCACTCTTAAATATTAAGCTTGTTATCATAAAAAATGTAAAGTAATGTATTTTTTAACTGTCTTACCTATAGCAAAGTCACATCTATTAGTTTTAAGGAAATCATTCTTCATAATGTACATTAAGTTGGTTCGACGATGAATGAATGCATGTTTACCCGATCTCACTCTTTCTATGATCGATTGTGACAACTCCTCGTGGTGTTCTGCATTTTTAATTAATTCTTTGACCATTGTATCATCTGATAATGTCTATACATAGAATAAATCAAATTTAGACTATAGGTAGTTATTAACTACCTATATTAATATTTTATTATTAACTACTAGTTAATAATAAAATATTAATAGAGCTAATCCTATAGCTGTGTTTTTTACTAATCCATAATATTTGATATCATTATTTCTGAAGGGGAATCCCTTTAATAATTTAAAGAATCTTTATTGAATTRATTTATAAATATGGTGATGAAAACAAATATTCAATCTACAAGCTTCATCTTTCATTTTAACTTTATTAAAAATCTGTAAAAAAAGCCTTAAAAATAGGTTATTGGAGTTTTTAAATAAACATCATATTTGCGTGATAATCAATTGTAATAATAAAAATGTTAATACATTATATGAAATTATTCAATAAATATATATATTTATTTATTTATTTAGATAACAAATAATGTATTTTTCTTGGAATTTTTTTAATATTGAACAAGCATTTGACTCCATTAATCATAATATTCTATTCAATAGGTAATTATAATATTATTACCTAGGCATAACTGTTATTTGAGTCATACTTAAATGGCAGAATACCTGAATACAGGGAGTAAGGGATCATATTACAATTAGTTGAACTCCGGTTAAACCACGAAATTCGGCCGGTAAAATCAGTGGTTCAAGCATAACCGAGGTTTAAACTATGATTGTAAAACGGGTCCTGAGACGTATAGATAATGATTATATACTCTGTTTAACGAAAGAAAACATGCTACAGCCTGACATTAATTGGTATTTCTGTGCCTCCCCATACCATCCCTTGCCATACTGAAACGTCTGAAACTGATTTCAATAGCAGGGTGACGTGGGAATGATGCGCGAACTAACATGTTCTCTCGTGGAATAAAATATAGTAAGAAATAGGAAATTGATTACTCAGTAACGGAAGGTACTGTACTAGAACCAGTATTATTTATAATGATTCAAGAAATATAATTTGTTTTTCTGAGGATATTACCGTATTATTAAAGAGTCAGTGTTAAGATAATTTATATTAAATAGCTGAAGAAAGAATTACCATATACCAATTTTGAAAATTGGTGGAAACCTTCAGACTTCACTAGAGATCAAGAGGAAGAAAATTAAATATGTTCACTTATTGCCATTAAAGTATTACTCATACTTATGGTTGTTATTACCTAGTATTAACAATGCAATTGTAGTGCATTAAATAGAGTATAGGTTCTTTAAAATATTTTGATATCTATAATACAGCTGCATACCTAATAATTTAAAGTAAAGTCTTCACATTAATTATAATAACAAAGAACACTTTTAGGTATATATTTTTAAATCTCTTTAATGTATTTTAAATAACAAACTAAGCATAATTATCCGAATATCCAATCTATCTTTTCTTATGGTATTTATTTTTGAAAAGGAATTATATATCATACCAACGCATTTTTGAAAAGTCAATATTCAAATTGATTAAATAGGTACCCCGTTAGGTATTCAAAGTTATCTCCATTAAATCAATTTATTTTCTGATTAATATGAAGAATAAAGAGTAGGTAGTAAATTTCAAATAATTTTACGTGAAGAAAAATATTTTTGCCTGCCTAAACACGGCTCTCATTCACTAAACATATTCAACAGGCCTCCCGCTGGGCTACCGATTCAGCGAAAACCATAGGCAGACTGATGCCCAACCTTGGCAGACCATCGCAAAGTAAAAGAGCGCTTCTTGGCAGTTTGGCAAACAGCAAGATGCTGTACGCCTCATCGACTTGGGCCGTCCGTGGCTCAAAATCGGCTAAGAATCGCACAGAACTGGCAAGAGCGCAGAGGACCATCGCACTCCGGCATAATACGTGCTTACAGGACAGTCTCGGTGGACGCCTCATCAGTATTGGTCTCAATGCTACCTGTAGATCTGCTAGCAACAGAAAGGGCTAGAGTTCGGGTTTGCCTGGACGACCAGACTGACGTCGCCCCGAGCATCGTTAAAACACAGGAGAGAGTTATCAGTATCGCAGCTTGGCAATCTCGGGGGGACCGGTCTGATAAAGGCAGATGGACGCACCGGCTCCTCTCTGACGTTGGGCGCTGGTTAACAAAGCTACCGCTAACCCTGACATTCCGACTGACGCAGGTGCTTTTGGGGCACGGATTCTACCAGGCGTACTTCAGGAAGTTGAAACGTGCGGATGACGCTTCATGCGTTTACTGTCAGCACCCTGACGACAACGTCGAACACACCCACCTTCGAGTGTCCAAGATGGGACGCTTAGCGGGAAGATGTACGTCCAGGGGCGGACTGGCCAGGGGGGCTAGGGGGAAATATCCCCCTGAGTCGGTCTGAATTATGAAATTTGGGCCGGTCGTCGAACAATAAACTTGTAATATATTTAGTCAATAAAACATTCATATTGTTTACAAAATCACAACTGATATAGTAATAATATAGTAAAATATTTAGGGGCGCTAAGCTGTATTTCCCCCTGGGCCGACAATCTCCCAGCCCGCCCCTGTGTACGTCCATTCCTTGGTGGTCGATTACCCACGCCGTAAGACGTAACCGATTTCCTCTGTGGACCGGTAGACATAGAAGACCAGAGCGCACGAATGAAGGAATCCTTCATAAGTGCGAGGACCGCATTTATCAACATGACAGAAGGTATTCTCGGCCAGAAAGAAGAGGACGAGAGGGCCATGCAAGCTGCTGGACGCTAATAACAGATTTCCAATCAACAAAACGGAGGGACGACGATCACGGCAAATGTCTGAATGTAACTTATGAACGGGGGTAAGTTGGGGGCATTGTCCCGTCTACCACCCACCATGTATGTGTATTTGTATTTGTATAATGTCAAATAAACGATGACGGCGCCGCGGAAGCAATGCGAAAGCAGTTCCCGCGGCGTCGTCGGTTCAAAACTGGGAAAAAAAAAGGTAGGTACTTACCTATTAGTTTATTAAGAAAATTAGTGAGATACTTGTGTTGATCTGAACATAGGTCTTCGATTCGTGAGTGGAATTTACTTTCAATATCTTTAAGTATAGAGCTTTTCTGGTTTTTTGTTATTTTTAATGTAAAAAAAGCTGAATCACATAATATGTATATAATATAATGTCAAAAAATGGACCTATATGTAWGTATATATGGTTTTTACTCTTTCATTTTAATTAATATCACGTGACATAATTTATAAATATGTAAATAATATATTATTTTGGCAACACGATAACACATGACACACTTATATCATATAGTTAATATAAATATGTTCACTACCTATGACATAATATTATTACTTATTAGTAGGCGCCAGCGTGCATCTGATCAACAGGTCATCTAAAATTATCCATTTTTTATTAAGATATTGTATCTAACTTTAACAACTTTTTCATAAYATACCAAACCAATTATTGCACTCGGTAATTTTCTGAGTCGATATAGGTATTCAATAAGTATATTTTGTGGGTCAATAGAACAAAATTGTGCCCGGTGGARCTTATCATAGGTAGGTGCTTCAATCGTATTAATAATATTTTTGAGTATTTAACAATTTTCTTACGGTAAGTAATGAATGTAAATTTGATGTTTTCGGTATTCCCCATGAATATCCTTGAGGTTTACGAGTCATCAAATCGGCCACGTTAGATACCATTGTATCCATCTGTGGAAACGTCAAATACGCTACTAAGTTGCCACTGTACGTAGTCACGATCACTAAAACGAATAGCCACCAAGTGCCGACTACCAATCGACCGCTGTCTGCATCGGGTAAATGAGCTCCCCCTATTCGGTAATCAATATATTTTATAAGACACAATGACAAATCACAAATGTTACTAACGATTAAAAGGGCGGTCGGTAATTGGGACACCTTTTATCTGATTCCCGGAATCCCGGACGAAAAGTCCGAAAATACGAAATTGTCAATTCAATTTTCATTTATTATTATAATATTATATAATATTATTATATAGGTATACACATGTNATTATAATTATTACCGATGTTTTGTAAAATTTTATCTTAAAAAAAAAATAATCCAGTGCATTTCTGTTGTATTTATGWTAGGTATAAGAAATAATAAGAATAAGAAAATATAAAATATAATAATTACATAATTATGACAAATTAGACAATTTTGTATTTTTGGACTTTTTATCCATATAGTAAAAATGTGTGGGACTTTTTGTCCAACTTTTATTCTATAGTCTACCGGACTTTTTGCTCTCGGGTTTTTTGACCAATTACCATTTTATCTATGAAATCGATGATTTGTATAAAAAATTTGTTTACGTTTTACTAGTTTATTACCCGGAGATTAGGCCATAAATGTACAGCATAAAAACATACGAATATAACGTATCTAACGTTTATTAACTAATTATTTTTTTTTTCTAATAGGTTCGTAAAAAACAATTATTCTTAGATTATCCTATACGCAGATTTCAGACATTTAATATAATACAGGTAATATAAGATCAATAAATTTAGTGAAATAATAATTATTATAAATTTTTTTTTTCTATTAAATAATAATACGATCTGTATATAATCTGTGTAATTTTTTTCTAGTACATAAAGCTACAATTAATTTTTAAATAATTTAATATCGATCTTACAAAAACAAATCTTTTATATTCTTCATATTTTTTTATTACCTATATTAAAAATAGAATCTACTGTTGATCTATTGTCATAAATTGTTTGCTTTTGAACGTGTTTTTTAATAAAAAATTTAATACTTACAAATTTCAAATAAATTAATATATATATCACAGAATTATTGAACTAACTACATACTAATAGTACTATATTTAACATTCTGTACAATAAAATCTCGATTCT